TTTCCCTGAGTCATCTTCTCGTTCCGTGTCAAACCAGGGAAAAGAAGGGCGGGAGACGTGTAGGACACGTAGTATCCACCTCAGATCGTTTTGTGCTTCTTTGATGGTTATCGTTTCTGTCTAAATTTGATTGTCTGTCGTTTAAAGATCCTTATTTGCTTCTTGCCGTTTGGATTGCGAAGCCCTGGATCTGGAAAAGCAAACAAAGTTTGGTTCTTCGGACGATTTATACACAATCGTTTAGTTATTTTCCATTCATCGTACTCTGTACAAAGAATTTCATGTTTGGGTGTTAGAATTGCTCGATTCTCTGTAGCTTCTTCACAGATCGAAGGGTCTTGGCAGGTTGGTTCTCGAAAATTTAGCTTGGAATCTGTGCCCGCAACCCGTTTGATCAGGTTCCCGTTCTCAAAATTTGATCTTTTCCAGCTCTGCGATTGAAATTTATCTGTTGCTTGAAGCAAACTTCTCGAGGCCTTTTAATCTTCTCTCGTAGAAGTCCTACTTTTGGGTGATACAAATGACTATCGTAAGCATTTCTCCCGATGAGAGCAATGGGCAGCGAAGGGGCAAAAGGATCCTTGATGAGACAGTTCCGCTGTTACCGAGCAAGCAGGAGGAAACTGGGGAATTTGATGAGTTCAATGGAGCTTCTTTTGCTGGGGCTGTCTTCAACCTATCAACTACCATCGTCGGAGCAGGGATTATGTCCCTGCCCGCCACCATGAAAGTCTTGGGGCTGGTGCCTGGGATTCTCCTGATTGTATTCTTTGCTTTCTTCACGGAGCAATCGATTGATATGTTGATCAGGTCTAGCCGAGCAGGGAAAACAGTTTCCTATGGAGGAGTAATGGGCGATGCATTTGGAAAAACCGGCAAGGCGTTGATTCAATTGTGTATTATTGTGAACAACGTCGGCGTGTTGATTGTATACATGATCATTATCGGTACGCTATCTGCCAAGTTTTAATTGCCAGTTATAAGATCAGTCTTGCTGAGGTGAAGAGTGTAATCATTTCTATAGTTGATGCATCCTTATTGAATCAGTTCATAATTCATTATATGCATGTGCATTTTTCCTCCAAGGTAAAATCATGTTCTCATTTTGTTGTTTTAATTGTATATCTGAATTTTGAAACTTACTACCTTTTCTGATAATTGAACTAGTCAAATATTTTCTTCGACAATTACAATGTTATAGAAGTTTTCGTGTATGAAATTGCTTAGCCAAGCCATTTTCTTCTCAGATCTATTTCACTTCTCTCTTCCTATTCTGATATCCCTTCGAATGCCTTCTGATAGTTAAAGCAGTCGTTGACAACTTGTTTCAACCATAGTATTGTTTTGTTCTCGTAGCTTGAATCTTAATCACGATTGTTTTTCCAGGCGATGTGCTTTCTGGAACATCTTCGAGTGGCTACCACCACTCTGGTGTTTTGGAAGGATGGTTCGGGCAGCATTGGTGGACTAGTCGTTTTGTCATTCTTCTGGTCTCAATGCTGGCAGTGTTTGCTCCATTGGCATGCTTCAAGCGTGTCGGTATGTGTAGTACATCTTTACCGTCTCTAATATCTCATACAATTTTACAAGTCAAATAGTCATCTTCGAGAAGTTAAATTGCTGCATTCTTTTTGTAATTCTGATCTTACCAACTCTTTTCTGGCAGATTCACTGAGGTACACATCTGCCTTATCTGTTGCCCTGGCAGTTGTTTTCGTGGTAATTACAGCAGGGATTGCTGTTGTTAAATTGCTTGCTGGAAGCATCGCAATGCCCAAATTATTTCCGGATGTACCAGATTTAGCATCTGTGTGGAACTTCTTCACGGTGGTCCCAATTATTGTGACTGCATATATCTGCCATTACAACGGTAAGAACACTAGAATCTCATATAAAATTGTTTGTAAAATTATTTACATCAGAGTCACACAGATTAGAAGTATATGTCTTTTGTTTGTCAAAATGATGTGATTGATGAATCTGCTTAACAGGATTACTGGTTACCTTTGCTCATTAAAGTTTGGAATTCTGACACACTGACCATTCTTCCGTGTATTGTGATTATGCAGTTCACCCTATAGAGAACGAACTCGACGATCCTTCCCAGATAAAGCCTGTTGTACGAACATCACTAGCGCTTTGTTCCACGGTCTACATAACCACGAGCTTCTTTGGGTTCCTCCTCTTTGGTGAATCCACCCTTGATGATGTGCTTGCCAATTTTGATTCCAATCTTGGCATCCCATACAGCTCTGTTCTGAATGATGCAGTCAGAGTTAGCTATGCTGTGCACCTCATGCTCGTGTTCCCCATGATCTTCCATGCCCTGCGGGTCAATGTGGATGGCCTACTTTTTGCATCGGCCAGCCCCTTATCTTCTGACAATAGGAGGTTTGCTATAATTACAGTGGTGCTTCTATCGATCATTTTCTTGGCTGCAAATTTCATTCCCAGTATCTGGGACGCCTTCCAATTTACTGGTGCAACTGCTGCAGTCTGCATTGGGTTCATTTTTCCTGCTGCCATTACACTCAGGTGAGTCCTAGCAATTCACCATTGCCACTTCCCTTTCCCTTTTCTTTAATAACCACGGCAAAATCACTTCGATATATGGATCCATTTGATGAAGTTGACTTGTTTCCGAGTACAGCTTGCATATATGGCAATGACATGTTCGCATCTGACCCTTGGATGTTCGATGGATTCTGATGTGTTCTATGCTTTTTAGAGCCATAAGTAGTTTCTGTATCATCTTCAATAAATTTATGCGCTTCTGAGTTCTCTTAACATTGTTTCTCCTATTTCAGAGATCCTCATGGCATTGCGACAAAGTGGGGCAAGATCCTGGCGGTTTTCATGATCATCCTCGCCGTTCTGTCAAATGCCATTGCTATATACAGTGACGCCTATGCTCTCTTTAAGAAGACCGATGCCTCCCCTGAATCCTAGGATGATTTTTAATGCCGGTGGCTCATATATATATATATATCGGATAGTATAATTGTCGGCACCCTGTAAGTTTTCTCCTTCAATAGTAGACACAGCTCAACATATAGGTTGAGTTGCATGCTCTATGTCTGTAACCTGTACAATTTCTTAATCTGGACCTGTTGTTTGAACATTGATAATTGTCAAGCTGGGCCTGAAAGTATGAGATTGTCTGTTTCTTCTCAAGTAGTCATGCATTTACAATTAGAATTTTCTCTTAAACTGTCTTGATCAAGATTTTGATGACACTATATTCATGCTGTGATCCTTTTTCATTTCTCAAACACTTCATATCAGAATAATTAGGTGGATAGAGAGGCCTGATCTTTTTAGACTTACTGAAACAAACATGCTCAACTCACAGGAGACAGCCACATCTATCTTCACTGCATCATTGTTAGCTGTCTTTGAAGTTTCACTGATGTCAAAAGCTAGGCAGGAATGATTTCTACAAAGTTTGACAAAAGTTCCACACAACATTATATTTATCACATGCTATCATCAATGAGCATCATGATGTGGAAACTGATGATTCAAACCATCAATTATTATTATTTTTAATTTAAAATAATTTTAAAATATAAAAAAAATTAAATTTATTTTTGAATAATTAAAAATAATTTAAAATCACGATTCAAATGCAAAGATCTGTGCTTCAAGATCATGGTGAGGACTGCTTACTTCGAGACCATCGCTGTGGGGAGTGATGAGCTGAAGAGCTCCTTTGCCTTCGAGTTGATTCGCTGAAAGCCCGGTGATCTGATCCGATGAAGCTGCAAAGATGGTGATGTGATGAGAAGGGTCGACACATCACGTGGATGCTTCATTCCATGGCCAGCTTGTGACGCGTGGAATGACAGATCGCAAACTTACACAGCCTTCTGTTCTCCACCGAAAGAAAGGAAGGCAAACTTACACGATTTCCTACGCGACTTCCTGTGACCGACTCGTGAGCAGCTGACACGCTTCTCAAAAGACGCCCACCGGCGGAGAGTTGGGCAGCACGCCCTTGTGTTCTTAAACTCCCCAGCAGTAATCCTCAACCCTAGTGCTTGTTACAGCTTCCTTGCGATGAAAGAGATGCATGGGTGTGTGATTCCAGGAGCTGCAGTGTTCAGCCTCTTGTTTTCCCACTCCATCCGCCTCACTAAACCCTAGAACTCAAACCTCCTACGGGTTCATACTGTTTCCAGGTTCTCAAGCAAACACTTAATCTTACTCGAAGGTTTCTTCCTCTCTCTGCAAATATTTCTAGTATATGTATCAGAAGGCATGCCAAGCAATTTCTCTTTCTTCCCCATTTCTGTTCTCCATTATAAAGAAAGATTTGATGATTGTTTCACTATGTCTTCGATGATCTCCCCTATAGGATGCTGCTCTCTCTCTCTCTCTCTAATAGTTTGCTCCTACCATAGGTTTCCCAGATGGTATCTTCAACAAGCAAAGGATGGAACAATGTTCTCAAGCCACCGCAACCTGATCTGCGCATAGTTAGGCTGCTGAAACGAACCTGTCATTAGGAAATCAATATCGGACAGGATGGGCTGAAATGATGTGTCCTAGTTTACCGGGCACGAATCTTGACCTTAATATATTTCCATGTAGCTTAGATATCAACAAATCTTTCAGAGCCTTGCTTTGTCAGTCCAACCACAGTTTTGACTGATCAACTACACTGTTCGAAGTAGAAGCAATTAAATATCGACATGTGTACTGGTAAGGGCTTCATAAGCCACGTTGGTCACGGTCAAACCTATTGGGACCAAGAACACATGGATAGAGACTCGGCCAAAACCCTAGGCAAAAGCCATGGTCACCAGACTCCGACCCTCTCATCGTTGCATGCATGGCGGCAGACAGGCTCTAAGCACCCGTATCTTCCATCCACGCGTACGTAGAACCACGTTCAACTTTGCTCCACGGTTTGAGTGCTCCAAAGTACCAACTGGGACGAAGGCATATTTAATTGTTAGGGACCAGTTTTCAAAAGCATACTGTCTGAGTTATATCTGGGAAGGATGGAAGTGTTTGGAATCCTGGTTGGCTACTCTCCTTACATCTCTGGAGCAATCTCACCTTAGAGGTCTCTGTGGACATGGGGTGCATAAGGTTAAGGTTCCTTTTTCTTGCGCTTTTGATCTGCTCGGTTACTCTTGCTGACTCTATTGCAAGCGCTCGCAGTGGTAGGTTGCATTCCTCTCTTAGAATAGATGATCATGGAATGGTATGCATCTATACTTACTTTGGTTCCTCTTTTCTCCAGTGGTTGAAGTTCTGACGGAGAAGAATGGTGGTGCAATGGGTGTCGATGAGGTTGCTTTCTTAGATCATCATGAACTTTTGAATACCCTAAGATGGAGAGTGATTTCGGCAATGTTTTCTTCACAGGAAGTACTTCCTGGCAGCACGACAAGCAGGAGCAGATGGCTGTGGGGAAGGAAGATGAGCGCAGAAAGGTTGGAGAAGAAGGACACAGTGGAAACAGGTGCAAAACCTTATGCTGGAAAGTGTAAACATGGAGGGAAGAGGGGTACGAACTTAGAGAGTGTTACAAGTCTTCACTCGAGGGTCAAACTGGTTCGCCATATACCTTTCAGCTCTGACTACCGTGGCCCAAAAACCCATCCCCCAAAGAACAACTAAGGCAAAGACACCACTGCAACTCCTTTTCTTGAGCTCACTAACCCGTAGATTTAGACTTTGTTTCCTTTTTTGCTTCATACATGTCTTAGCGACAACAGGAGAGAAGCCTCTGTGTATGTGTATGAAATGGTTAAAGGAGTAGTAGTAGTAGCTGTTTGTTTCTAACACATATGTCTTCGAGCTTATGATGAACAGAGTCTTTGTTCAATATTTGTATTATTAAGAATATTTATTCGGGTATTCTGATATCAATAGAAGATTAGCATATCTTTTCCTTTGTTAACCTTTTAGATTTCCTATCCTTTATATATCATGATCCTTAGTCTCAAAAAAGGAACAGAGATTAGCACACAGATTTTAAGTAGTTGCTCCATGAATGGGGTTATAGGGCACAGGAATTATAAGTTCTTGATCCATTTAAAGTATCTCGTTTCTTGATGCAGGACCGGCAAAGATCTCCGAAGAGAAGATGCTTGGTTCAACAACAAAGATGCATGATAAGGTCTCTCTCTCTCTCTCTCTCTCTCTCTCTCTCTCTCACATACACACACACACACACACACATAAACGTAAGCACACAAGAAATATTTTGTTGCAGTGTAGAGAATGATGAAAACATTAGAAAGACATGGTAATTCTACCTCTAAATATTTGCAACATTTTCATTTTCTGATTCAGGATTCCAGAAGAATTAGCATACCTAAGCCAAGGCCAAAAGCCACTGTCAAAAAGCATACAAAAGGGAGTTCAGGTGAGGCACTGAAGCCAAAGGCAACAGCACAAGCAGCCTCCCATGGATCATCCCATGATCCATTCCAGAGAATTCAACCTAAGAAACAACTGGATGCAGTCACTGAAATGTTCAACATGCTGCACAAGGACTACCAAACCAAGGCTCGCCGCAGGCCTCCCATCAACAATGACACTCCTTTGAAGCATCTTGATGCTAAGCCCTAGGCAGAAGATGGCCTCTCTCTCTCTCTCTCTCTCTCTCTCTCTCTCTCTCTCTCTCTCTGCTGGCTTGGTACTGTAAAGGGCTTAGGTCATAGTTGTTCTTTGATCAGCACATAATAGATATTTGGATATAGGAGTGGTCAATAATATGCCTACAAGCCTCTTCAGTCCTTCCTACCTGTTTGCTTCCAAGCACTGATAGGTTTGGACAATTTTGGCAGTAGATGAGCTTGAGGCCTTGTTTCAAATCTTCAACTGTAATCTTGTACCACAAGATGCTTTCAGAAGTGCTTTCTTAGGTGCTACAAAATCTTCACATGCAAGAAAGCAAGTTTCTACACATCTGAAAGAAGAAAACCAAAGAGAACCATGCTAGGTTTTTACTCAAATCTTGAGTATCTCAATCTCCAGTTTGATAATGAGAATTACTTGGATTGCAGTGGAGAAAGGTAGCAATTGATCTAGCTAGCAGTACTGCTTAGTGTGATTTCAGATGCTCCCATGGTATGGGTTGAACTTTAATAATGATTGATAGGTATAGTGTTAATTTGTCATAGAAATAATTCCCTCGGATCTTTATATAGTATTATCCACATATGTTTTGCATGCAATTAACTACTTTACAGAAATATATATTATATATATATATATATATATATATAATTAGAAAGGATAAAACAAAATTGATGACGATTTTGGACGACAGAGTTGACTCTCCGACTCTCCGAAGTCAAGTCAATGAAATGGACTCCAAGGTTCGGTTCTAGTGTCCCCTCAATCTCATTTTAGCAACCGGTACCCACCAATAACACCAACACAACAAGGAAGTATATCAAGGGTCTGTATCACCTGCCTCGTCGAGGTCACAAGGCGGACAGATGCGTCTTTTCATTGGCTATCTTATGTGGGTTCCAGTAGCCTAGAGGGCAGGGATGGAACATTTGCCTGCCCCACCGAAGAGATTTGCTTGCCCCACCGAACATTTGCCGGACTCGCTACCTCTTTCCTCGACTTCTCTCTCTCTCGCTCTCTCTCGATCGATCTCGATCTCGACGATCCAGTCCACTGTTGCGCTCGTTGTCGCCAAATTGATGAGAACAATCAGCGGATTGATGCACAAGATGCATAACCGGTTTCTTTTTCTTCGTGCCGAGAGGTATGTGTTCGTTGTTCTTTGAATGATGTGAGGCTTTTCGCTGCGCAATCTCTGGTTCCTGCGGTTCTTGATTTCCACCCCTTGTTTTGGTCGATTCGTTCCGTTGATTTCAAGAACCACCTTTCGTTTATTTCTCGAAAGCCATTCTCGATGCTGAATTCAGAATGCGCGCAGTTTTCTTGCATAAAAATCGAAGCGGAGCGTGTTCTTTTGTTGCTTTCTTTTCAGACATTGTGGTTTCGCTTTGGCGTCGATCTTTTTGGAATTGAAGTGATAAAACCCAAACTCAGCTTCCGTTTCTTTTGTTCTTGATTTCAAGAACGAGTAGTGGGGGTGAAATGTAGATGGAAGATACAACATGTGGCGCAAATTAAATAGGGTATTTCTTGGAATTTCATCTTCAATCTACAACATGATGCAAGATTAATAGTAAGTAAAAAGATCACCCTAAATACCATGCCAGAAACACGTCCTTTACATTATTGTGGATAATAATTCTGTCAAATTGTTGCTTATCTGCTTCACCAACATTGAATGTATAAGTTCAGTTAAGGATGCAAATTCTGTAGATCCTTAATTAATCTGAACTGCCCACATGATTTAGTTAATAAACTCTGTGATTTATGCATTTTTATTCGCAAGATGGATGGATGTTCTTGAGGTACCCTTGATGCAAATTCCATAGACCTCCTTCATAAGAAAAACATCCATCATATTTTCTTCATACTAAAATAATAAATATCGAGAAATCGATTTGGCCTACTTAAGCATTTATGTTTTAATTGAAAGCTTGACATCCTATACTGTAGGCCTTCAAGATGTTCCATTGCTTTCAATACCAAAAGGTGCTAGGGAATGCTGAGCCAGACTTCAAGATGTTCCATTGATTGTTACAAGGCTCTACCAGAAGCATTCTCATGGACAGCACCAACCGAATGAAGAAAGAGTATCATCTCTTCCCATATGTGCAAATGGCGTTAAGATGAGCATTGACTCAAGTGCATCACTCTCTGTTTCTGACACACTAATCCTGGCTTGCAATTCATGGCAAAGAGGAATGCACACTGGAATCTGCAACAAAACAAGGACCTTTCTGCATCTCTCTCATGCGTTCCAAGATATTCATACAAGTATGTGATTTATTGATTTTCTGCTGTCGTTAAATAATTTATTGGTTTTCAAAATAGATTGATTATGTTACATAGGATTTATTAAGCTGAAGTCCAAGAGATTAACCACTTAACTTCCAAGATGAAATTTCTTCCTTTTTTTTCAATGCATGACTTATATCTGAATGAAAGCTCTACTATCCCTTAAATATTTTGCATTCACAAATTCTCGGGCAACTTCAAATTAGGAAACTTACCTCCAATGTCTTTCTTGAATTTACTATTATTTATTGAACTTAGGACTTGGGTGAATCAAATCAACTTTCAAAGTTTCCATAGATGGCACACATGGGATTGACATATTGTCACGGTCTTAGTTAGTTTTACCTAAGTCGTGCGATACCCTTGCGTGTCCGTCCGCAAAGGTCAGTCTCCCCGAAGCCTCCCATGGTCCCTTAGGACCCACAAAAGAGAAAACGGGTTAGAGAAAACGCCTCACTCGGGATCCACAAGCAAACATTCCAGGAAGCACTTCATAGATAATGCAAATTACAAACAGACTTTACAAACTCCGAACAGTTATACAATAAAGGGTCAAAATGGTCCACTAGATATCAAATATCTCTCACAAGTGTCTACATGACACGACCTTTTATTTACAAGCCTAAAGCGACCACCACACCCAACTAAAATGGGACTGTTAAGCCTTCGACCTTTCCTCTACATACTGTGCAAAGCATGAACATACCAAAAGACACGGACATACATAAGCATTACATCAAACATCATGTTTAGAAGTTTGTCCGTGACAATATGTTGGGTGTCCCATACTAAATTCTGTCTGAAAACATATAACTCAAGAATTTTGGTGCGATCTGATCCACCTATATAATCTTTTATAAAAAAATATTTTTGAATAATTCTTAGACAAGAATGGAGGAATATTTAGTATTCTTCTCCAGTAGTAGTAGAAAAAAAAATTATAGAAGATGTTCAGATATTCTTTTTATTGATAGAATTTGTCAAAGTTATTAAATGAGAGGCCCAATGATAAATCTATTTGCATGCTACCTTCATGCATGTCCAACTATGTCAAGTTGTTTCAAGCATGGTTTTAAATACTCGTCGGACCAAGCAGTACATACCCCCTCTGATATATTCCGGACTGATCAGGAATTAATAACGGTATATCAAATCCAGTATTGTTTAAAAAAAGGGTGTACTCAATACACAAGGCTTCCGCCAATGCAGGGTCTAGGTAGGTCAATGTATACAACCTTAAATATTTAAATATTTGAAGAGGCTGTTTTGCATGATAGCCTAATTTAAAACAATCCGCTTGATATTATACTTTTGTTTTTATTTTAAGTGATTGATTGACATTGTTGATATAATGTTTGGTATATTGGTGCCATAACAATCTGGCTAAGGATCGATTTGGTATCAGATCAAGATTTAAAACACACAAGTTGCAAAATACTGGTTGAATACTTCAACCGCTGCATAGTAACATTTGTTGTATGTCTACCTTTTATATATGAACCTTGATATCTCTTTGTCCTTAGTATGAAGACTAAAGTCTTCTAAACTCCATTATTAATCCCTCACAGGAGATGTTATATAGTCACATTCAGTTTACAAGATTAAGGAAATCTCTACATGGTTATGTTAAAGGAGTATTCTCATTCTACATATTAGTCAGTAATGTAAAGGAGTATGTTGACAATACTGTGTTAATTCAGTTTACAAGATTAAGGAAATCTATACATGGTTATGTTAGCAATAATGTAAAGAAGACAATACATTTGTCTATATGTTATCCAGGTACTTAGTGAGTGAACCAAGTAAGGATGTGCTCATCCTTCAATCGGACACATATCTCAGTCATGATTTAAGTTGATGTATAGATCTAAATACATCTCAGCTTGAGAACAGATTCTTAATAGCGAAGAACCTTATCTTAATTCTGTGTTGCACGATTGAAATACCGTAATCCAAAGTCTTAACTAGAGTTGATTTGCTTTTGATAGCATTGGCTTACCTGACGTAAAGTAAGATAGGGATAAGATAACTAGGCCATGATTGTAACACCATGGAAGTTATGATTGCAACACCATGGAAGAAGACCCATGCATATAATAGACTCATAAGATGTTCATGTCGGAAGATTTTTCAATCAGACTAACACTCGTCTTCCTAAAATTTTATCTGAAGAGATGATAGTAAATGTCGTATGTCACCCAAAATTCTATCCAAAAAGAAATGTTTGGAATGTTCAAACATGACCTTAGTAGCTTAAACTCTTCCAAGTTTATGTGTGTCCATGATAGGGGACTCAAACTAAAGAATTTTAACTCAAAAAAATGTGTAAATATGACCTAAAATAGGAATTAACAATATGGACACACAAAAAAAAACATCCAAAAAGGTAAGAAAATTAAAAAGAAAACCCAAGCTAGACTCACAGAAGTCTTAATTTAACCTAAATATGCCCAAACTAGACTAACCTAAGACTAGATGTCTCATGATCAATAAGAAGAAGCATTATGCGTGTATAAAAACAACGAATCATGTCTCATGATGTACTACTTACTATGTTGGGTGTGGTTTGAGCAAATGCAACTTCCTCGTGCTTAATGTATAGGCACAGCAGGTCCCAGCCAGGCAGGCAGTCCCCATCGTCGACTGTCAACTCTTACCATCTGTCTTCTTCTTATCTTCGAGTCGCAGCAGCAGCAGCAGCAGCTCCACCTGAAACCGACTCACCACCTACTCTCATTAAAGATAAGGAAGAAAGGGGAACATCCACGACGTGCCCGAGTCGGTAACCTACAGCTTCGTGATGGCAAAGCTTACCTCATACCTTTCTCCACTTTCCATGACCCTACCACCAACCAACCACCCTTTCTGGCTTAAGAAAGTACGCCACTTGGCTCCTCGCATGATGGTGCGTGCAAACACATGATCACAGGGACATGAACTGCAAGATGCTCGAGCCTTTTACAAGTACCTCATCCGCACTAAAACGGTCATGAGGAGGAGGAGGAGGAGTTCATGGCATGCTCCCGTCACGAGGTTGGTGGTGTTAAGCATGGGTTGTGCCTTAAGTGTTCAGCATCAATCATAGAGATGCAGCAGAGGATGGGAGGTGGGCTTCCACCATCTTCCAGTCCTACTGTGCCTTGATCCCGACTCAACATGGATGTTTCCTGAAGACGAAAAGGAAAGACACATGAGAGCAGGGTTTTATTAATGATGGAGGCACATGACACGACAAATTTCCTGACACACAGAGAGATTATTATTATTATTATTATTATTATTATATTTTGGTAACATCGATCCATCCAGGACATTTAAGTCACAAAGGATACATCATCACCCATTGTCGACATCTTCCGAACTCCTAAGTTCATCTTGACGCAGAGATGCTCTGGTTACGATGGCCGACATTCTCGATCAACTTAAACTTGAGAATTCAAGTCCTCCTTACTTGAGAATCACAAAACAGTACATTACAAACTTGATTACCTTTTTGTAGATATACCAGGCTTGATCCGCATCATCTGTGATCACATCAGAAATAGCAGTGAATAAGAAAAAGGCAGCTAAGCCCCAACATATTTGAACGCAGGGAAGAAGACATAAGCAAATTTAAATTACCCACCGAACTGAGTTTTCTTATTGCTGCCGAGTATTTTCTTTAGGAACATAATAACATACATACAGGCAGGCCATCACACTACCTACCTTCTTCAACCATAAAACATATATATACAGAGGCACAGACTCGAGTTTCACCTCCGTCACATCCTCTCAAACATAATACTACTACACAACAATCTTATTGTTACATCCACCTTCTCCCTTCATTACACCAACTAGATAAGGGCTCATAGTCAACCGCTGTAAAAACAACCTCACTCGACTCTCCGTACCTATCTTCTACACTCAAAACTGACAAGAACTGCCCAACCTCTGCTTGAGCCTCTGGCCAGTGGCACCACACTTCCGGCTACGGAATGCACCTTGCAGCAGCTCCTGGAACTTCTCGAGAAATGCTGACCACTCCTCTTCTCCCATGTCAGCCAGCTTCACGAAGCTCACACTTGCAGGCAGCTGTTCGTTCGCACTCCTACTGTTCCTACCCTGAAGCCCACTGGCACCACCGCTATTTCTACCAGTGGTACAATTAGCTCTTGGAACACCAGCCACGTAGTTCTGACTATTCCCAGCAAGGGTCATGGTCTTCAAAGAAGCGGACAGTCTCGAGACATGTGGAGGCCACTCACGAGCATCCGAGCAGTAAGTAGTATCCTCCATATTGTGCTCAATGTTCTCATCATCTTCCTCCTGCTCCTCCAAGCTCTCTTCTAATCTTGACAGCGGGTTTCTGGAGATTCTTCCTCTGGATCCAAAATTGAAAGATGGAGATTTCGGCATCACTGGATCAGCTTCCTCATAGTCAATGTCAAACTGAATTGTGTCATCATAATTTGGACTGATTACTGGAGAAATGACCACTTTTTCGGCTATCAGACGTCTTGTCTCAATGCACACAACTTCCAGTTCGCTTGGCGCCTCTTCCATTCCCCTGAATTCCCTGCTCATCATCTCACCAATCTCTGCAAGGCAAAGCCCAAATGCAGCTGCTTCCTTGAGAAAAATTGTTGACAGGATCAAAACTCTAAGGCATGCTTCGCGGATCATGGGCAGCTCCATACGAAGCATCTCAGAATCTTTCACCGGATCAAGGTTTGCAATATACTTAAGCTCTTCCTCACAGAAAGGGATTGATGCCTGTGGCCAGTGGATCCACTCAAAATATGGATCATCCAAACTCTCCGGCAAGCAGAGACCATGATCGATCGGAATAAGTTCTGTCTGAGCCCCAAATCTACCAGTTGCCCCTTCAAGTTTCCTCACCAAGAGGTTTCCAGCATGCCTATCGGTATTAAAAATTCTAATATCGAGGATACCAATCCTGTGTATAGTTGCAACAGGGAAACTGGACGTCCCATGGTCACTAGCATCGTAGTCATGAGGAATAAACTGTTGAAAGGATGCTATCTTGCTGACTGCACTCCGCTTCCTGTCAACAGCCTTGCCGCTAGTATTAGAGTTAACACCTTCATTCACATGGAAAACCGAATGAGTGATCTTGACAAGGACCGTGGGGGGCACATTGGCAAAATGATCATAATCCAGGAGGTATGCAGCAACTTCCCTGAATCCAGTCTCACCAACCCGCACAGACCTTTTCAAGCCTGGTTGTCCAAGGGCCTTCCCAGTGAAACCTTTAGGATTATTCGGTGCAAATGGTTCCTCATCTGTGGGCTTCACAATTGCAACACTCTCACCTATGGTGTTCCTGAAGTAGTAGGCACCACCAAGCCCACTGTGAACCGGTAAAGGAGCAACGCCATTTTTAATAGCCTTCACAACATCCTTGACCAGCTGTCTTGTTCGAGAGCAGCGGCTAGAGCACACTAAAACTTCGATTGGGCCACTCCGATCCCTTTGCTGGTGGATGTCCTTTCCAGTAGGAGAGAGGCACGGAGTGGAGGAACTTCTATGCATGGAATTCCTGGTAAGAAGCAATGGTGAATCATTCCGGACAGCACTGAGATCATTTTTCAACACAAGGTCACCAAAAGTGAGCGAGCTCTCATCGGTAGGTACATTAAGAGCAATCTGTAACCTTCTCTTCACGGTATGAGCATTATCTGCACGATCCAGTTCAATACCCAATACACATCCAGTTTCAGTTTGAACGAACACACGCCTTCGTCCACTTGGTTTTCCTTCACTTTGGTTGCTCCGATGGTACTCGTAGTTTAGGGTGTGGGTTAAGACGGAAACTGCCATCTGGGTCTTAATGGGGCTGTCCAAGTTAGGCGACATGGAATAAGTAGGATCCACAGTTATCACCAACAGATACTTCGGCCAAACAGATGATTTTCTTCTTTCTCTTCTTCTCTCTTGAGCACACGCCACACACGGAGGCTGACGCGGTTATAGAGAGAAGGTGCAGTACAGGATCGATCATTAAGTGAGAAAGTAATACTGGACCAGCAGACCTTGAACAAAAACTAGGAAGCAGTAGGTCTGTGGGAAGATGAGCGACCACCCTACATTGGAAAACCCATCTTATTGGCCATTAGGCTGATATGAAGGAATCAGGACCTGTCACCAAAGTGTTCTACTTGTAAGCAATGAAACAATAAAACCAACTTACGATAGAAAAGGAATTACCAATTCATCACATCTAATCTTTGGACAATTCAAGCAATTCATAGCATGTATATTCGCAAGTGAAATAAGCAATCGTGAACCAGATGAATAACATAAAATTACCAAAGCAATAGACAGACTGGAGATCAACAATAAATAGTATGAACAATTGGCGGCTACGAAAAAGGGACAAAAACCAAGACAGGGCTTCAACTTTACTACTTCGTTTCTAGTCATGACAATATTATAGAAACTAAAGACACCCAAGAAAAATAGCGCTAAGAAGTTGCCAATCCAATATGCAATAAAACAAGATTCTCCATATAACATTTGTTTTGAAGCATTAGCATAAAACTAATCCATATGCACCCAAATGTTCTCCAAAATAAGTGTCGTTTCCTACAAAAAAAAAAGTGCATATCTATAAACAAGAACCGGATAACAATCGATGAGAAGCAACAAATGAGACATCCAAACACATAAACATAACAAATCAAGTGACCAAGACCCCATGCTGAGATATTTGTTTGATCACTTGCTGAAAGATAACGATCAAGATTTAGGAGTGTCCATCAAACAATCAAAATGCGTTGATGCTTCACTGAGAGATTCCACGGACCTCATCAAACCAGAATGAAAACCGTGCAAAGTCTTTGCCACTTTTTCCCCAAAAATCAAGAAAATTATCATATTCCAAAAACAAAATACGAAAAGAAGCAACAGTCGACGCTTACTCCACCGGTTCTTGGTTGCTTTAGAACCAAACCTTTCCGTTTCAAAACGTGCCCGCTAATTTCAAGTAATAAAACCTGACGATCTGAGTAGCGATCGTCTCGGTGTAGCCGGATGAAACCAAAACCCTAATATTCCTATGCAGAAACCAAATCGCCCCCGAAAACCCCATCATCGTGTCCAAGAATCCGCAAGAATCAACCAAACAACCAAAGCTAAAAACGATCTGAGGCACCTAGCGACATCAAGAACGTCCAAACGAGGAGATCGTAAAAAGAAATCGTCTAGGAACCAAGCGTCATACTGGCAAGGGAGATCGCGAGAGGCGGCGGAAGTAACCCACCAGCGGCTGCGATCTCACCGAACCACCAGCTCCACGGCGACCCGACGCGGGAATCCGACCCGGTTGTCGATCCCACGGCGGAGGATCGCGCTCCTCCTCCTCCTCCTCCAAGTCCACTCGCTCTTTCCCTCTCCCTCTCCCACACTCTCGCCTATCTTCAATCTTCTTTGCCCTTTATTAAGAGTAGCAAAACAAGCCCGTGGTTAAGACAACTAAACCCTCCCGTGGTTAAGGCTTTAAGCCGTAATAAATCATATATTAATTACGCCAAACGTTTCCCCCTTTTCTCTATCTGGATTCGAAGTCTCTGGAAGGAAAGGGAGGAAGAGGGAGCCGTTGGACTGGCGAGCGAGAATCATCCGACGGATGATATCAAGCAACGTGGGGACAAGATATTGGTGATTAAGGAGGTCAGGTTACCGCCTCATCACCGGACCTGAACTGCCCTCGGTTGATTGTCTAAAGAATGTATTACACACGCGCAAATCTTACGAGGAAATACTTACGCGCCGAGATGAAGACACAACACTGCCGCGTGTAATCTGAATGCTCAAGGAACGCTGGCAGGTACGTGGTTCCGTATTACACCCATTTACTGGACTGGCTGACTGAATCACCCCTGAAAGGATGACGGACGTATTTGATGTTCCCGCGGCCTTTGCGGTCCAGACCGCGTCACCCATTAAAGGTTTCATGAATGATTGAGCATTCTGCATTGTAGCATTTAGCTTCACCCAATTTTGGGGGCTCCTAAATTTATGTGGGTCCCACCATCCAAGTGATTAATATATAAGGTTTTTATTTTTTGGGGATAAACAATGAGGTTTTTTTTTCTTCATATATTAATCACCATCCAAGTGATTAATATATGAGGTTTTTTTTTTTTTTTGGGATAAATGGTGAAAATAAAATTTGAGCATGGAATTTTATAATAAACTGTTAAAGTCTTTATCAGTTAAATAAACTAATATCTTCAATGATACTTATTTTTATGCTCACAATGAATAAAAGTATTAACATAATAGCATTTAAACTCTTTTAAATCATTTTGAGAAAAATAGTAAGATTGAAATTTTCTTGATATATTTGTTATCAGATGACTGGTTCATTTAAAATTAGTATTTTTGTAATATCAATTTTACTAATAATTTTAAAATTATAAGTATCATTATCCAACCTAAAGAGATGATTAATGAATTAATTTGTTGAGTTTGAATCATTGATCTTAATTATTTAATTTAAAAACTAATAATAATATAGTGGAAGGTTACTAAAGTGTTAAATCTGAATTAATAATATTAGGTGAGATTAAACTAAGGTATTGAGATAATAGTTCATCTCAATAATGTTTAGAAGAAAAAGTGCAACTGTGATGTGAAAATTATGTGTTACAGTGTTGTTCTCTTTTATTTTTAGTAATGGATTCAATACCAAAAGGCAAGCTCAGGATTGTGCTTGGTGATCAATCAGGAGTGAGCATAAAACTTAAAGGCACAAACAAAATGATGAGTACTTAAGGAAGGTAGGAAGTAGAGGTTTATAGGGTGTAGGAAGGGGGGGCAGGCAAGTGATGCTGAGGTGAAAGGAACCAGTCTCTAACCTATGAAGGTGAGTTGGCCGGCCCTCTTGTGATGGAAATTAATTATGCATTTTGCTTAAAGATTGGTGAAGCACATGAACACTGAGAGAGACTGCTTGGACCTTCTTTTTCCAACAGTACTGTGACATGTTATCCTCCACTGTTGGTGATGAGGCTGCTGAGCTTGTTGAATGTGTCTGTACAATCAAGTGCAGCCTCAACATCTCATGGATGATGATAAGGCAATGCTGAACAAAGCTTGTGCTCTAATCTTTTTTTTTTCCTCAAAAGAAAATTTTATTAGATCCAAATCTACAGAAAGAATTTTTGAAGATCTTTTCTAGTAAGAAAAAAAAACGGGGCTCTTTGAATGCATGAAATTGACAAAGCTTCGAAGGAAACAACAGTCAGCAGATGCTTTGTTCAAGCAGATGCTTTGGTCAAGCAGCCGAGCAATCCAGACTAAGCCATGCATCATTTGCTCCGCGTGACTTCCTCATCAAAGAACGATGGCATCTTCAACACGCCGCTTTCGCTGCGTTGCTGCACGCCATCTGTGAAACCTGCAAGAAACAGTCAACACCGATTTCACTTTCTTTGTGCTCGCCTCTTCTCCTCAATTGAAGTCCAAATGCTGAGTCTTCCTACTAAAAACTTGATCACCAAGCAACGCAAACAA